CAGAAACAACACAGAATTAAAACCTGTTGAAACAAAACGAAATACAAACAGAACGAAAACAAAACAGCGCCCCCTATTTCAGGCAAATGTTTACCTTTTGTGTGTTTTTTTGTCTTTTTAAGACCGAACAAACGGTTTCAACCGAGTATAGTTTAGAACCCGTCCCGTGTACTCATCGATCTCTTCTGTAAATTTGGCGCTATTTGGATCCAAACTGACGGAGCCTTTCATTAACATACATACATACATACATACATACATACAACATTCGCCAAATATAGTAAGATAAAAGTTGCAAAGATATTAAAAAATCCAACCATTATTTATGAAAATTGATAAAATAGTGATACGAAATAGTGCGCGTATTGTGTGCCCGTTTACTACTTTCAAATCATTACGCTGTTTACTAAACTAAGTTCACGTGTTTTTATTAATATTATCATGAATTTTCGGATGCTTGCCAATATACCTAATTCTCGAACATTGTCTCTTGATACATTTTGCGTAGTCGGCTTAAAATCTAAATTTGTCTACCAACAAACATGCAAATCATAGAAATTTGATAGACTTCACGGCCGTTGGATGCCATTTGCTGGATTTCCCCGGAGCTCCACCCACTGAAAAATAGTACCAGCCTTGTGGCAGTGGTATCCTGAGTTATACGAAGGGTGCTGCCAAACTGCATGCAGTGCCTCTTCGTGCACTCAGGATACCACTGCCAATGCTAGCACTATTTTTAAAGTGGGCGGAGCTCCGGGGAAATCCAGCGAATGGAGATTCGTAAACAGCGTATGATTTGAAAGAGGTAACTGGGCGCACAATCGCGTGTACTATTTTATCAAATTTTTCATGAAATAACGGTCGGATTTTAATATCTGCAACTTTTTTAGTCAAAATCTTATTACATAGGATCAAGAAGCTAATATATATTAGCTCTTGATAGGATACAAGTAACTTGGCTGTTGTAAAACTTTAAAGCGTTACAAAATGTAATGGAATCTACTTATGGCAGTGGTGAATTGAGGCGAGAGCGCCATCTGTCGTGGAATTTGGGGTGCTGCATGCAGTTTGGTACAGGGCTATAGGCGCGCACTGCATTTTGGGAAACTACCACGCTGCTTTCCAACTTTTGTACGAGCCTCGTCAAAGCCGCCAGTGGAGCGTTGCAAAGTGTTGCATCATTGCGGCGCAAAAATGAGGTCACGAAGAGCGCCGTGGGTGTTTCCTGATTCCGACAGCCATTTACATAAACTGCACAACGGGATCGAACGCGAGAATTTCGTCAGGCGTTGGGTGATTTCGCATGACACAGCTCGGTTAAGAACACAGATATGTTTTTATAACAAGTGAATACTGTTCTTCAAAGAGAAACAAAGATGGCGTAGAATGGTTGAATATTTGTGTTGTATTCGTATGAAATCAAGCGAGCGTCGAGCAAATTTTGGCAGCACACTTTCCTACCTGCTATACATTTATGTGTTGGTGTGCAGCAGCTAGCGTGCGGTGTACTTGTGTGTTGCAGATGAGCATTTGACCGGCATTTACAGTTGATTATAGGCGAAATAGAGTAGAGAAACATTAAGACTTTGGTAGTAAAGACATTTCGTGTTTATTTACCATTATTATTTTTTATTGAGACGTTCCAAGTGCCTGTGAACCTGTGGTAATAAGTTCAATCTTATAAAAAAAAGTCTATGCATAATTCTATATATATATATATATATATATATATATAATGCACATGATTATATATATCTATTCATTTAGCTATAATTTGTAGGTGTTTCACAAGTAAGGCATTACCTTTATTACCTAACATATCTATTCAAATGTCGGAACTTAATTTGCACGATCGAAATATTACAGCTTTATAATTAAGAGTCCAAATTTACAAGGTAATAATCTGCAAATGGTTATTGACTGTAAAATAGTTCTTCCCTCTACCCGGTATAAATTATATAATAAATCACTATAAATGCGGCTGCACTCTTGTTTTTATCCTTGAATTCCCTGTATTTCATAAGCTCTTTTTCTGCTCAGCATTGGTTAGCATATAAATAAGTGGCTACATATAAATAAATAGCACTGAAATAAGTGGCTCAGCAGTTTAACACTATCCTATTTGTATACATGAGTAAATAATAAGCCGGAAGGTAAAGTATCAGAATACTCTTGCATCACTTTGGCCGAGGACAGGAATAGACTCATTACTATGTTTAGCTAAGATTTTCCAGCTATGGCACAGTATATTTAACTGCGATGTATAATATACTGTGCCATAGCTGGAAAATACCCTCAGAATGCAGGAAATTGCATCTCAAAATTTTTTCCGGGGGGCATGCCGGACCCCCCTAGCAAACTCGGGTCAGTACGGGACCCTCGAACTACTAATTTGATGGCCAGAAACTACAGATTGCTTCAAATATATGTTGGCATCTCTGCATTCACAGTCAAGTATTATTACAGTCATCACAGATCATCAGAACTGCATTTTTTTTCTGTTTATTTACGTTATACATTTACATTCAATATTCTTTTAAAATGACTGTTTTATGTAACTACCTGGTTCATGTTCTAATACATTAGAGTAATAATTGTGGTATATTTTTCTATTTGGTCAGATCTCAACTGATTGGCTAATTCCAGCTTTTTCATTTGTTCCCTTCTGATGGAGAAGCTAATACAAGAATAATTCTAAAATATTCTCATGGAAAATGAGTGTGTGTAAGTGATTAGTTTAGATTTTCTATCGTTTCTGATTTGTTACCTTGACCTTACGTATTGCTAGGGGTGCAAGGCATGGAATGGCAATGAATGGCAAGCTTGCAAGACTGGCAAGGATTGAAGAAGAGTTGACAGCGATACCTAAAACCTCTTTACTCACGTTATCAACAATAGATACTGGTGTGACAAACAACAATGCTGAAATGTCACCTTTGCAGGAAAAAAAGAAGAAGAAAAACAAGAAAAATAAAAAAACTGTGGCACCATCTGAATGTAATGAAATAGAGCATAGTGAAACAAATGACTGTGATAGACTTAATTTAGAAGAAGCCACCGTGAAAAATGGCATTCACTCTTTTCATGCGACTAATGTAACTTTAAAATCGAAGAGAAAAAAAGGCAAACGGAAGAGAAAGATCGATGATCAGGCAATATGCAGCAATGAAGAATGTAAGCCAGTAAGAAAATCAAAAAAGTCATCCAAAAGAATAGAAAAAATTGTTAAAAAGAAGTCATAAAAATTGTAAAATGTGTGACATGAAATATATAGATAATTAAGAAGTATTGTCTACAAAAAAAATTTCTGGCTATTGTGATATTTTGGTTTCAAAGGTGATCACCTCATTAATCTCGCTTCTAAATGCATTTCAGTGATATCGCTTTCGTATTACTGTAACATTAGAAATTGAATAATAACAATGTATATGTTAATATTTAACTCAATAATATATTGGTACTTCCTGAAACCAAAGATTGTGTGAATTTAATGCTTGCAGGGTTCAAACCCTTTAAATTAAACTTCATGACATTTTGGGTAGACTATAAATAATATATGGATATATTATATGGATTGTTGAACAAAAATTATGAAATGGACCTTACCCTATTGCAGTAGTTGTTGAATGTCATTAACTGCTCTTGTCACAAGGTCATTATAGTGGAGCAGTTACTGAAGCTGATAGGGTCTATGTACCCCAGGGTACTTATCGGAGGGGTGTTGCTATCCCCCGGGCGTGGAGTGAGGGTCACGTGATACAGTTGACGTATACTTCAAAACTTAACAGTAGCCACACAGACTAACGGATACAGTGTAGTGTATCCTTTAGTCTGTGGTAACCATAACCCTAACACTAAATATCTATATATCGGATCTCTATATATAGGGGCGTCATCCACAAAAATTAATCTGTGGTGTGGGGACAGATATCATGATGCAAAAACCCTAACCCTAACCCTAACCCTGCCCCCTAACCCTAACCCTAACCCTAACCCTAACACTAGTGCTGCCACGTTGCGTGACCCTCACTCCATGCCCGGGGGATAGCAGCACCCCTATCGGAGGGTACCCTGGGTACGGTTCAATATATCGGAAAGTACCTCGGGGTACTATACGATATGTCGCTGCGTACCCTGCATTGTCCCACCGTACCCTGACTTTATGCTCCCGTTTCTTGTTTTGGGTCCGTTTCCGCAAAATATTCGTTTCAGTATTCGCATTTCTTCTGGAAATTGTATGTATCACCGTGTAATTATGCAACATGCAGGTTGATAGCACTGTTGTGCCCGTTGGTGGTGTACATTTGGAAAGATTTCTCTCAGATCATGAATATTTGAATAATATGAAAATGAATATGAAAATGAAAATATGAATATATGAAAAAGGAAAAAGAAAAATATAGTCAAACATAGCATACATTTTTATTGGATTGCGATGTTTTGTAGTTTCTTCTATGTGATGTGGTAACTTGACAGAGTGTATGTATTACGACATCAGTTGGCTGAAAGTCATGGTACGATGGGACAATGCAGGGTACGCAGCGACATATCGCAGCGTACCCCGAGGTACTTTCCGATATATCGAACCATACCCAGGGCAAGGAGCTACATATAACTGTTAATACATATAACTATAATATATAGTTATACATATAACTACATATAGCTGTTATATGTAGCTCCTTGACCCAGGGTACCCTCCGATAGTACCCTGGTGGACATAGAGACCTTATCAGCGTTACTGAAATGTTTATTCAGATATTTTTGCATAAAAAATTACTTAATACATGCAGTTGGTATATAAGAATTCAGCCGATTTAATTATTCGTTAAACAGATACTGTAGGCCCTACAAAGGAAAAAATATTTAACAACAACCGTTTATACTAGGTTTAGTCATTCAAGTGAATTTTTATCAATTGTAATTTTTATTGCAATTTTGGTCTGTTATCATGCCTTCTAAAATTGAAATAAGAGAATATAAATGTTAGACTCTATAAATGTTCATGGTATGACGATGGAGCAGCTATTGCGATAAGAATATGATAGTCATAATGATAATACACAGGTGCACTGCTATAGCGTATGAGTATGTATTTGGATAGATCACCTATTGCATTCACACGGATATAACGATCAAGTTTATTATGGTGGATCACTGGTCCGTACGTCATCCTGTTGGTAAGAGATGTATTCGAGCTGATCTAATTTCAATCAATCTGCTCTCTCTCTCTCTCTCTCTCTCTCTCTCTCTCTCTCTCTCTCTCTCTCTCTCTAATATTCATGTAGAATCAC